TGGACGCCCTGAGGTACCACCTGAGAAACGCCAGGTAGGCCCAGCATTTGACCCCCACCACACACCTGTCTGCAGTGTAAAGGGATGAGGCTGTCACCCAGAGAGAGGCACCCCCAGGGCTGGCAGGGATGCTACAGGTCAGGGAGAGGACGTAAAACCAGATGAAGGTCAAGGAAGGCGGGAGGGCTTTCCTCTGGAGGAGGTGGAAGGTGAGGGGATGGAGGGGCGACAGGAGGGCTGTGGCCATAGGTACCATCTGTGCTGTGTCTCCTTAATCCTAGGAAACTGAAAATGTGGGAAGGAGCATAAACATGGAGGTGATGGGGGAGGCCTGTGACCCCTGTCCCCGCTGCTGCCCCTGTGTGGCCTGAGGTTCCTGTCCCTGCTTCTTCCCCATCCCTCCTTGTGCTGGGCCAGTCCTGAGAGCTCCCCGCCCACTCTGCTTTCCCACTGCCCAGCCAGTGTCCGGAGGGCCTCGGGGAGCCCTCAAGGCCCTGGCTGCTGCCTCCTCTCCCTGGGGGGTGGGGGGAAAGGGGGGGCGGACTGGCAAAGGCCCCAGGCATGGCTGGCTGCAGGCAACCCAGCTTTGGGCTACTAAGAGGGATCCCATCCCCGGCAGCTCTGGAGCCAGGGGCGGCAGGGCCTGAAGCTGGCTTTGCCCAGCTCTGGGTAGGGGCACGGAGAATGCAGTGAAATGTGCCCAAGTCCAGGCAGAAGCTGATGGAGGCTATGGATGCCGAGGGGCGGGCTGACCACCCTTCCCTCACAAGCCGGCCCCTGGCTCAGCTACACGCTCAGGCTCAGTCGTGGGCAACAGCCCTTGGGTTTGGCACACAAGGTCCCCAGTGCGCACAGGCAGTCCAGGCCAGGAACAACTTAATTTGGCCTCGCCATCCTCCCTCCCACACGTGTGGTGATTAATGCCTGTTTTGGGTTAGACATGAAGAGGGCCCCTCAAGAAGTCTCTTGGGCAAAAGGGGTGGGTCTGCTGCTCCACAGATGAAGGAGAACCAGAGAGGCAGCCAGCCCCCCGGCCACCGCGGCCACCGCCAGGTTCCCAGTCTCACTGCGGTCCCATTGCACGTGTGAGGAAACTGAGGCCCAGAGAGTGCAAGGGCCCTCCCTGGGGCCCACAGCAGAGCCAGGGCTGGAACTGGCTGGCTGAAGAGCAGAGACTGGGAGTCAGCGGAGAAGGGCCAGGAGTGGAGGGGAAGGGTCTGGCGCTCAGGCGTGCCCTGGAAGGGTGCCTCAGCAGCGCTGCGTGGGTGGGTGGCCTCTAAGACAAATGCCATCTGCCTCCCAGCAGCTACGAGGGCCTCCGGGGTGAGATGGGGGTGTCGGGGAAGGCGGGCGGCCTGGGCGAGGGGAGTGAACGCAGGCTCAGTGCACCACCCAGGCTGCCCAGGGCTGGCGGTGGCTGCCGGGCGCTGAAATGTGAAGTGTGTGAGGGATGTAAGTGAATGTGTGTGTGAGTGAAAGACTGTGTGAATATGTGAGTGAGAGTGAGTGAGTGAGCGAGTGTGTGTGTGTGTGTGTGTGAGAGAGAGAGAGAGAGAGAGAGAGAGAGACTTTGTGGAATGTATGTGAGTAGTGACTGTAAGGAGAGTCCGTGTATATGTAAGTGAATGTGTGTGTGAGTGAAAGACTGTGTGAATATGTGAGTGAGAGTGAGTGAGTGATTGAGGTGAGGTTGGAAAGTGATTGTGGGAGCCGGTGGGGAGGATTGAGGAGAGAGAGAGAGAGAGAGAGAGAGAGAGAGAGAGGGAGAGAGAGACTTTGTGGAATGTGAGTAGTGACTGTAAGGAGAGTCTGTGTACAGATAAGTGAATGTGTGTGTGAGTGAAAGACTGTGTGAATATGTGTGTGAGAGTGAGTGAGTGAGCGAGTGTGTGTGTGTGTGTGTGTGTGTGTGTGTGCTGGGGGGAGGCCGGCTAAATCCTGCCCGTCCCGCCCGCACCGGCCCAGCCTCTCTGGTTTCAGCCATGGTCCTAAAGAAAACAGCCTGGTGGGAGCTGCGGCAGGAAATCACTATTTGGATTGCAGAGGCGCCTCTTCCTGCCCCCACGGAGGGAGAGGCCAGGGAGGGGGCCTTCCTGCCCACCTG